ATTTAGGATGGCATTACAACTCTTCAGGTCTTTATACAGTTAAATCAGCTTACTGGGTAGCCACACATGCCTCAACAGCCAACAGGCCGAACCCTCCGCCAGGTGATTCAATTCTTAAGGCCAAAATATGGAAGTTGCAGACAGCTCCTAAACTGAAACATTTTCTCTGGAGAATTCTTTCTCAAGCAATAGCTATTGGCGAATGTCTTAAGAAAAGACACATCACAAGAAATTCTCAATGTCCGAGATGCCATAATGGAGAGGAATCTATTACACATATGCTGTTTGAGTGCCAATACGCACAAAATACATGGAGGGCATCAGGTTATCCAAATCTTTCTATCATTGATCCGGTTTTATCTTTAGAACAAAAGATGGAGATTTTGATCACAAGACCAACTACAATGCCTCTACATGTCCATCAATTTGGTCTATGGATCCTCTAGAGATTATGGAAAAGCCGTAATGCTCTCATCTACCAGAAAAAAACAAATTCATGGAGACAACTAGTGCAATGGGCAAGAGATGATGCAAAGGAGTGGCAGGATACTTTTGATTTGGTCTCTAATAAACACGCTCAACTTCAACGCAAAGTCATACCATTAGCAGGTCAAAAAATAGTATGGAAGCGAACTTCTAGGGGATGGGTGAAATGCAACTCTGATGGCTCATATGTCTCAAACAGAAGACACAACAATGCAGGTTGGATTATCCGAGATGACAAAGGAACTTACTTAGGAGCAGGCCAAGCAACACATCTATCCGCCAATAATGCTCTTGAATGTGAATTTCAAGCATTACGATTCGCTTTACAAAATTGTTGGTGTAAAGGTTATAGGAGAATAATATTTGAAGGAGACTCTCAAACGCTGGTTAACCTTCTTTTGGGAAAAACAATAAACTTTGGAGTCTACAATTGGGTATGGGAAGTAAGAGAATGGAGTAAGAAATTCCAAGAAGTCAGTTTTGCATGGGTACCAAGGAATGCAAATCAACCGGCTGATCTTCTGGTAAAGCAACAAGCTTCAAACCTTGGCAACTTTTATTTTTTTAACTATGTTCCCTCTAGTATAACTAATGTACTACATAATGACTATACTTGCTCTTCCTAATAATAATAAAGACGTTTAAAAAAATAATAATAAATATTCATTAAGAAGCAAAGAAATTATGATTCTTACTTTCATTTTAAAACTATTCCATAAAATCTTAAACCTCTGATCAAATCTTGAAATCCTGAACGTGGTTATTAAAACATTAACGAAAAAAACATTCAACATCAGAACATTCAATTTTTATATAAAAGTGACAAAATAGTAATATTAGCATGATAGTACCGGGGATCAACAAGAAGAAGGTGGATTTTCACGATCCACCAAACCCTCTTCCTTAAACATCACGAGCTGGAACTGCCAGGGCCTCGGAAATCCCTGAACAGTTTCGAGATTAAGGAGAACCAAAAAGAAATATGGTTTTCCGGATATTATTTTCCTCATGGAGACAAAGAATCATGATACCTTTGTTCTCACGGAGCTTAAATATTTGGAGTACGATGACATCTTCACTGTCCCACCCCTAACTCCAAGAAGTGGAGGCTTAGCGCTCATGTGGAAAAAGGAGTTAGAGGTGGAGATCCTGCACTCTTGTGAAAAACTTCATTGACACAAGAATTACATCTAATGGCAAAAATTTCTATGCAACATTCATCTACGGACATCCAGAAAAGGGTAACAGACAAAAAATTTGGGATCAGTTGACAAACCTGGGCTCCAGTAGAAATGAGGCATGGTTTTTGACAGGAGATTTCAATGAAATCACAGAAAATTCAGAGAAACAAGGCGGTCCTCGTAGGAGTGAGGAGTCTTTTGTGGATTTTCGGTCTTTCCTGTCTGTGAATGACCTCTTCGTTATCCAACACCACGGTAACCCTTTATCCTGGAGAGGTACAAGGCATACTCACTTTGTTAAATGTAGACTGGATAGATCTATGGGGAATAGTGCATGGTTTGAATGTTTTCCCTATGGAAAATGTGAATACCTGCGCTTTGAAGCTTCTGATCATCGACCACTCATTATCAGCTTCGCCCCAAAGAAACGACAGAAAGGGCTCTTTCGTTTTGACAGAACCCTTCAAAACAATGAGGAGGTCAATCGGTTAATTAAGGAGGAATGGGCAGCTCAAGGAAGGAAACCTGTAAATGAAAAAATTGCCTGCTGCAGAAGAATCCTCATTGAATGCAAGAAAGCCAATCATGTTAATAGCCAAAAGTAGATTGTGGCAAAGCAAAAAGAACTAGAGGCCGCGATGGTAGACTCTGCAAACAACGAAAGCCTAATCAGACACATTAATAATGAGCTTAAAGATGCTTACAGAGCGGAAGAGGCTTTTTGGAGACAAAGAAGTCGCCAAAAGTGGCTCCAACTCGAAGATAAGAATAGCGGTTATTTTCATGCTGCAACAAGGGGAAGAAGAGCAAGGAATACTATCTCTGTGATCTACAACAATGAAGGCTCTGCTGTTTTTGAGGAAAGCCAAATAACGTTAGTCATTACAGAGTATTTCCAGAACATGTTCACCTCTCAAGAGGGAGATCGAGAGGATACAGTGAAGAAGGCAATCCAAGCCAGAGTCACAGATGACATGAATACAAAACTGATAAGGATACCATCGGATGAGGAAATACGTTCTGCAATCTTCTCTATACACCCAGAAAAGGGCACTGGGCCTGATGGATTCTCATCCGGTTTTTTCCATGCAAACTGGGAATCGGTTGGGCATGACATCATCCGGGAAATCAAGGAATTTTTCTCATCAGGGAATCTTCCTTCGGGCATCAATGAAACTCATATCTGCCTAATCCCAAAGGTCAAGACTCCAAAATCTGTGGCTGAGTACAGACCTATAGCCATATGCAACATGTTCTATAAGACTATATCAAAGATACTTACCGCTAGACTGCATCCGATTATCGGTGATCTTATAGCTGAAAACCAATCAGCATTCGTGCCGGGTAGAGCTATATCTGACAACGTGATGATAACACACGAAGTCCTGTATTTCCTGAAGACATCAGAAGCAGAAGTCAGAGGAGCTATGGCAGTGAAAACTGACATGAGCAAGGCGTATGATCGTATTGAATGGTAGTTTATCAGATTAGTGTTTCAGCGAATGAATTTTCATCCTACCTAGGTAAACTGGATTATGCAGTGTGTAACCACAGTGTCATTTTCGGTGCTAATTAATGGAGAAGCAAGGGGAAAGATCTTACCCTCTAGAGGAATCCGCCAGGGAGACCCCTTGTCACCATACTTGTTTATCATCTGCGGAGAAGTGTTATCAGGATTATGCCTGGAAGCCCAACGAAAAGGAAAACTAAAAGGTATCAAGGTAGCAAGAAACTGTCCACAAATAAATCACCTTCTCTTCGCAGATGACACAATGTTCTTCTGCAAATCAAGCTCAACAGCATGCAAAGCTCTCATGGAAATCCTTCGAAAATATGAAAGAGCTTCAAGGCAGATGATAAAAAAGATAAGTCAGCTATCACCTTCTCAAGGAAAACGCCACAGACTATAAAAAACCGAGTTAAAAAGGAGTTGGGGATCGAATCAGAGGGAGGTGTTGGTAAATACTTGGGCTTACCAGAGCATTTTGGCAGGAAGAAATCCGACCTCTTTAGCTCAATAGTGGACCGAATAAGACAAAGATCAATCTCATGGTCGTCCAAGCAACTTTCGGGAGCTGGCAAAATGATCCTCCTCAAATCAGTCCTTGCCTCAATGCCAACCTACACAATGTCCTGTTTTAAGTTACCAGTTGGCCTTTGTCAGAGAATACAATCAATACTCACACGATTCTGGTGGGATGCAAATGATGGGAAGAAAAAAATGTGTTGGATCGCTTGGAGGAAACTTACCAAGAGTAAAAGAGACGGAGGTTTACGCTTCCGAGACATCTGTGCTTTCAATGATGCACTCCTGGCAAAGCAAAGCTGGCGTATCATATCAAACCCCCAGAATCTCCTAAGCAGGGTATTAAAAGGGAGATACTTTAACGACTCAACCTTCCTCGAATGTGTGGCCACGGATTCAGCTTCTCATGGGTGGAAAGGGATTCTCATCGACATAAATCTTATAAAACGGAATATGGGGAAAGCTATTGGCAGTGGAACTCACACGAGTTTATGGGAAGATTCCTGGATTTCTACATCCCAAGTGCTTAAACCGATAGGTCCTGCAATAAAAGAAGTTTATGATATGAAGGTAGCATATCTTTTCCTTCCCAATTCAAAAACCTGGAATGTGGAGACTATAAGAGAAATCTTACCAGCTTTTGAAAAGGAGATCTTGTGTATCAAAACAAGTGGCTGTGATGGTCCGGACAGAGACATCTGGCTCTCCACGTCCTCAGGAGATTATTCAACGAAATCCGGATACCATTTCGCAAGAACGCTGGCTGATCAAGGAACAACAACTGACAACAACAATGCTGACTTTATGTGGCAAAATGAAATCTGTCAGGGCAAATTTTCGGAAAAAATCAAACTCTTTCTATGGAAGATCATGCAGGAAGCATTACCTATAGGAGAGAACTTGGTCCATCGGAGAATCCTTGCCCGAGCCTCGTGCCCGAGATGTGGAGAATGGGAATCAGCTCAACATGTTTTCTTCAACTGCAGTTTTGCTCAAAGGATATAGAGGCTAGCCCCTTTCAAGGATCAGGCTATACTATCAAACCCCCATAATCTCAGCTTATGGATTCGATACCTGAATTCGATCCTTTGCCTACCACCTTCGGGTATCGCAAATGGCCCCCTTGCTCCTTGGATACTTTGGAACCTATGGACAGGAAGGAATAATGTCATTTTCAAAGGAAAACAATAATCTGCAGAAGAGGTCATGAATAACGCTATCAGAAATGCAAAAGAATGGCAAAGGGCTCAACAATCGAACCTGAAAATTCCAAGTGATCTCAGGAAAGCTTGGAATCCGATTTCCCAATGGATTTTGTTCGGTGCTTCACCGATGGAGCATGGCAAAAGGAAACTCTAAACGCCAGAATTGGATGGGTTATCGAGATTCCAAACTTCAAGCGGAAACTCCAGAAATCAGACTATGTGGTCTTTGTGGGATCCCCCCTAATAGCTGAAGCAATAGCAATCAAAATGGCTCTGGCAGATGCGATTGACTTAGAAATCAGGAAACTCTGTGTGGCTTCAGATTCAAAATCGCTTATTCAGACAATCACGACCAAGACCTTATGCCCGAAAATCTATGGAGTTCTCTTGGATATATTTAACTTGATTTCGTTTTTCTCTGAGATTCGTTTCATGTATGTACCAAGGGAAGCCAATGCTCAGGCTGATGCTTTAGCAAAAAGGGCTCTTGAGGGAATCGAAAGAGACCAACCCAGAAATGTAAGGGATAGTTTTTCCTAGAACTAAATGAATGAATGAAAAACACTTCGAACAAAAAAAGAAAGTAATATTAGCATATTTGTTCATCAAAAATAAAACTGATAGCTTTCCCTCTGTATTTGGACATACTCATCCGAAATTTCTATACATATTTGAGAATCATTTTCTAACTCCAACTATTTAGAGTTACTTTTTGTAGGTACATATATATAAATTATCAACTAAAATTATTTAGAAATGAATGCATCAACGTTCTAACTGATCACTTATATAGGGCCTGTTTTTTTCTCTGTCGCCGCGTCTGCAGCTGCGTCGGAGTAATACGGCAGTAGTCGTAATAGGTAGGAAAGCAAAACGACAATGTCCAAGGTCCTGCTGGAAAAGGGAGGTGTCGTTGTGGTACCTGTGTTACCGGAAAAGTGACGCTGGAAAATTCCAGCGGCTATGAGATAATCCTGCGATCATGTTAAACACACACCTGCGATCATCTTCAACACACACCTGCAGTCATTCGGTGGCAATTGTTGTTTCTGTTGTACCTGTTTTACTTTGACGCAGCCGCAGACGCAGCGACACTAAAAAGAACAGACCCATAGTATTATTTTAGATGTCATCATATTTTCGAATGTGAAATTCTTACAAAAATCCTCAATTTTTTGTTGTTAATTTATATAAATATCTAAACACAATTGTCTAAACTATAACCTAAGGTTGTTAAATTGACCTGTCAAAGCTACGTTCAATAGCGATCAAAAGAATATTGGTATTGTCTAGCTACAGTGAAAAAAAGGAGTGTTTATAAAACATGTCGTCACTCGTGAATCATGTGATTCTTCGAACATGTCTTGGCCTTAATTAGCTCTGAAGGGAAAAAACATAAAAGAAATGCAAAAACGAGGGGTCACTTTTGAATGCACCACTAGTTATCAGACACGTGTTTTGTAATATTCCTATCCCAGGCTTCCTAGGAAAACCGGAGAAATAGGACATGTTAAGGACCCCAGTCCTCTGGTGAGCCTCAGGTTCCCAGGTTCAAAAACGCCCAGATAGCAATCAACAATATAGACATATCTGATCTACCTGAAAAATAAATGCAAGGAAGGAGGAGGGGTGAGTAATTGGGATTACTCAGCGAGGATGGACCTTAAGGAGGCCCACAACACCATCTAACAATCATGAACACAGCAGATAGACTAATCCTAAGTCAAGCTAGCAAACAAGGGTAACCTTACAATCAACTACCAAGTAACAAAGAAACCTTAACCCATTGAGGAGAGCATCACCGTCTTATCGACAATGTCGCTCCGCCCACCCAATCACCACAAAAAGGGGTCACCCATTCACCACAGAAAGGGATCTCAACAAGTAAAGGTCACTCAGTCGTCCTCAATCACTACAGAAAGGGACACACCCCCCAATCACACAGAAATGGTCACAAGGCGGTCACACAGACAGGCCTTCAGCCATATAGGCTCCGGAAGGATCGGCATACCTTCCGCTCACCGTTGGACTAGCCCAATCCAGCCACTAGCCCAACAAGAAACACCGCCCAATCACCACAGAAGGGGTCGGGGACCTAACAGTTCTATATCACACAACCTAGACTATCTCAAACAAGGTAATCCAGATCACACACAATCAATCCATATTTTAGGGTTTCATAGATTAGATCCAAGTTCAGGTTTAGTCATCAAGGTTCCTCCAACAACCAGCAATCATCAACAATCAATCAACAAGGAACCAGGTTCTAGTAATCTAACCCTAGCACACAGATCTAGTACTTAACCTAAGAAAAGGCTAACTACTATGGACAGGAGTGAAAGAGAGGGTGAAGCACAGGGTCCTCACCTTGGCACAGAAGGGCGAGTAATAGAAGGAGATGATGGCATAGGACAAGGGAAACGAAGTGGAGATCCACCATCACTGGATTCGGATTCAAGAGGAGGAGGAGTTAGAGGCGCACACATCTTGCAATGGAGAGGGAGAGGTTCGACTGAAAGGAGAGAGAGGAGAGATTAGGGCAAAGATGAGAAAGAAGAAGAGAGAGAGAAAACAGATCTGGACACCCGATACGCGGTTCACGATAACTCTCGTGTCCGATCACGGATCAGGGCGAGACCGGTCTTATTATGAATCTTACCTCCGGGGCTTCGATTTGATATATTATACGTCACGTGGAGCTTCACGGATCGCCGGGAAATCGTCTCAGAAGTGAACGGCGGTTTAAGAGAAAAAGTGACGAAAAAGAGAGAATATGAAGAGACTAGGTTTTAGAAGTTGATGGGGGATCGGAGGTATTTATATTAGGTTAGATTAGCCTGGACTGGGCTTAATAGATTAGATTAATGGACTTGCAGAGAGTTAAAAAGAGATTAAAAAGAGATTAGAATTGGGCTTAATTAGGAATGATGGTTTAATTTAAATAAACCGGAATTGATTTTTAATAACAACTGATCCGGCGGGTCGGGGTGTTACATGTTTGTTACAAAAAAATATTGTTTATGTGGATGACCATGACATATAGGTCTATATATTCGATCAATTCGATCAATTGTTAATATTCTGATGTGACGTCAAATAACTATCTAGTTTTATGATGTAGAAATAACCCCAGTTTTGATTACTCCTATCACTAAAATGCATTTATATTTTTTGCAGTTCATTCTAAAAGAAAGCTTTCATAACTAACAGTATTTGAGCTATGATAGTTTTAAGATGTTGAATTATTAGAAATAACTTGTAAATGAGAACAAAATACCAAAAAAATATATTTAGAACATCTCTAATCCGATTTCATTTTCTACTTCAGTTGTCAGTTTGGAAGAAAGTTTCTCTCATTCTATTCTATTTTCAGCTCAAAATAAATAAAAAATATTTTTTTCTCTAAATATGAAGTAATCCCATTTTTTTAATTTATTATGAAGTTGAATTTTTCATTTATAAAATTTAAAACTGTGTTTTTTTACTGTTATGATACAATATTATATAGTTTTATTATTTTTCTAAGAACTTTGATCAAAAATAATATTTAAATGGTGACATTTAAATTAAATATTTGGTTTTATGTTATTTTTCTGTGGTGTAATGTGTTTTTAATATTATAATATATATATATATATATATTTTAAATAAATTATAATTTATGAAAGTTTTGAGAAAAAATAATGTCTTAATTTGTACATTTTAAAGATAAAGTGTATTACTTACAATTAACAATAGATAAAAAGTAGATATATGTACAATATTTATTTGGAGTAGAAAATGGAAAAATACATTAGAGAAAAATCTAATTCTATTTACAGTTATTCCATTGTAATGATAAAAATAAAATTATACTCTTAGTGATCTGTATAATCAGTCAATAAATATTTCGAATTTCATGAAATAGTACATTGGATATTAAATAAAATGAGATTTATAAACTAAGAAATCACAAATAAACCACAGAAAATAGCGACCAAAGCACTACAGATGTTTTCTTTATTTTCAAATTTCAAAACGTACATCAAACATTATTTTGTGTTGATAAACACATACAAATGAAATCCAGATTATGAATCCTGAGCCAATATAATTATCTATACACATAATATATATATATATATACACATAATATATATATACACATAATATATATATATACACATAATATATATATATACACATAATATATATATACACATAATATATATATAGGTATTGTCAGTGGCGGAGAGAGTATGTTGGGAGGGGGCAATTGACCAGTGAAATTCAATTTTTTTATAAATATTTGTATTTTTCATGTAAAAGCTAGATATAATATTAATAATTTAGCTAAATAACCCCTGTAAAATTTGTTTAAAATACATTATAATTAAAATTGATCCTCGTAAATTTTTTTTCTAGCTCCAACCACTGGGTATAGTGCATCCATGAAAATAAGTAAATTGATATGTTAAAATATCTCAGAAACACGCGTACGTGCGGTCAATGGAAATATCACACTAATCTGAATCAATGGCTAATGCATATCAAAGGAAGTTGTTAAGAACATACATAAAAGTTAAAACTATCATATTAGGTTTTTAATCAAATTATATATAGATATATATAATCCAAAGTTGCAGTTCGATTTTGGCTTTTTGGTCTCAGTTCTTGGATTCAGAATAAAACTGAATTTACTATTGATTCATTTGGTATAGTTTTAAACTTTCATTTTTATTTGGAATTGACTTTTATCATAATTTTTTACTTTAATAAAAATATAATAGTATTAACTTCATTTTAACTGGATATTATAAAAAAAAATTTAACCAAACTAATACTATATTCAATCTTAAAATCATATTTTCCATTGTGGTTAATATCATAGTTCATTAATTATTCCAGATTGAAATTTCTGTATCTATATAAATACCGTAAGGTCCATAACAGAACTTTCATAAAATAAGCATAGGAAAATGCGAACCATTTAATCTAAATGGCCAATTTCAAGAACACGTACGTATGTCTATACGTTGATATACTGATATACATGCTTATATTGTACATATATACATACAAATAACTAATTGTGATCACAATGGAATTACTTAGAGACAGAGAAGGATATCAAAACAGGGGATTATGTTGAGATTAGAAATGATTTGATGAGTAATTAAGAGAGCATAACACCAAAAAAAGACAGAGCATAGTGGAGAGAGTATTTATTAAAAATTAATTTAATGAGTATTCATATGAATAATATCTACTGTAGATTGTGTGCACATGCATTTCCCCTACTACATTACATCACACTCTGTCTATTTCTTCTCATCTTTACTCGTATATGATTTAATATGAGGAACTCAAATTATTTATTGTTAAGAATTTTATATAAAATCATTTTTCTCGAATCAAATCCCTTTGATCTTGCTACTTACCTCGACAGCCAATCAGACCTAAAATTCCTCTCTGTACATTATTTTAATAAAAAATACAATACATTATTTTAATAAAAATACAATAATCAATTTATATTAATATTCTTAGTTTTACTTTAT